ATATGACATATCTTAGAGCTGTTAGAAGTGGGAATTGCCGTTTATATCCAAATTACATAATCTACAAACTATTTGGTAAGCAGACAGTTGTAAAGCTATGTTTTCTCTTTACATGGTATAGCAAGATAATTAAAAGGTGGAATGTTGTTTCCTCTTCATATAGTACAGCAAGATAATTTAATCAAGATTAAACAGGTTAATATAGTTATAGTACAGCAAGATAATTTAATCAAGATTAATTTAACAGGTTTGTTGATATGTAATTTATATGTAGTAAAATGGTCTCTTTTAAATGTTTAGTTCTATCAGTTTCAACAAAGACATACAGTTGTGTAACTATACCATAGGTATACATGTTGTTATTAGTAATTTATATATATCAGAGCCAGTATAAGAATTGCTGAAATTTGTGAGGATTACAAAAAATATGCTTCAAGAGCATATTAAGAGTATGTGTAAACACACATATACATGCATACACATAGTCATGCACCAAATAACATTTCAGCTCATGGCAGACTGCATATATAGCAGTGGTCTCATAACATTATGATACCTTATTTAACTGTACCTTTTTCATGTTTAGATGTTTAGATATCCAAATATTCACTATTATATTACAGTTGCTTGCAGTATTCTATACAGTGACATACTGTACAGGTTTGTAGCCTAGTAGCAATTGGGTATACTAGATAACCTAGGTATGTAGTAGATCATTCCATCTAGGTATGTGCAAGTACACTCTATAATGTTCTCACAGCAATGAAATCATCTAACAATGCATCTCTCAGAATGTATTCCCATTGATAAGCAGTGTGTGAACTATATGTGCTTAGTTTGATTCAATCTATAATTCTTCTTCCTGTTGGTGTTCTAAAGTAACTTGCAACAAAGTTGCTATCTTTATGTAACATCAGATCAATTTTTATTTGCTCATACCCATATATAATTCAATACTTTTGGAGTTATGTGGATATATAGTTGCAGCAAGTAATATTTTGACCACTTCAGTAGTACTTCTGAAGCACTGTAATTTGAGCATACTTTATGCTTGAACTAATTCAGAGCCTTCATTTATTGATAAAGGATGCCCATCAACACGGTTGGAAGTTACATCAGGGGATATGTAGCATTCACCTATTTTGGCTCTAGTATAATACAAGAAGCAAGGGTAGCTGGCTAAACAAAATTAGGAAAATAAATCATGAAGTGGTAAGATAAGATGTATGTTTTAAAAAATATGTTTAGGAATGTGAAAGAGTTAGTGTTTATATTTCTTCTGTGAAGTACCTCAGTTCTACATTTATCCCTTGTACATCCTTGGTTTTTTACAGGGATTCGTCTGTTATTGACTCATCTGTGATGATAAGATTCTCATCACAGAGTCTAAGGACGCTTAAGATTTCTTGCAACTTTACTGTGGGCTGCAAGAAGGAGCCAGCAATGTGAAACCAGTGGAAGGTATTTAGATAGTAAGAATAGTTGGTGCCAAAGCCTCAGGATTGACTTGAATTTTGTTGTGTTCAAATTAAAGAAGCAAGAACAGTTTGGGCTGCATGTTGAGAATGATGGGAAATGAGTTTGAAACAGTAGGCAGGAGCCAGACCATCTAGGCTTCGTAGTCTTAGAGTAAGGAGTTTGTCGTTTTAGTGTAAGTGAAATGGAAATCCATTGGTATATTTTATACTTGGGGTGGTATGGTCTGGTGATATTCGTCATTCTAGTGTAGAGAAGCAGGAAGTCTCATTAGGAGGCTATTACTGTAGTTTGGGTGAGAGATGATGTAGCTCAGAATAGGAGATGGATGATACTAGAGAGAGAGATAAGTGGTATTGACAGCATTATTTGGAGATGGTGTCTCACCAGACTTGATAGTATTTATGGGTGGGTAAAAGAAAGAGGACTCAAGGGTGATGCCTAGATTTTTGGCGTGAACTGCTGGGTTGATAGTGGTGCCTTTATTTTGGGAAGATTAAGGGACAATAAGGTTTGAGATACTTAACATTGAAGTGGAGATATTATGTAGGCATTTTAATGTGTGGATCTAGAGCTCAGCTGAGAGACTAAGACCAAAGATAAATATTTGGGATTTAGTGGTATGGAGGTGGTATTTAAAGCTGTGCAACTCTATGGGATTATTCATCAGTAATGATCAAGACCACATAGCTAATAAGTGGCAGATTGGGATTCAAATTTAGATTTGACTGATCCCCAAATCTCTTCTACTAGACCAGATTATTGCAACATATTTTCACTTCAAGTGGGCTAGCACATGTTTTCTTTTCTTTTTTTTTGTTTGAGATAAAATGTTTCTTAAAGGAATATATGGTTGTCTCCTGGTATCCGGGGGAATTGGTTTCAAAATGGCTGCTGCTACCCAAATTCCCAGATACTCAAAACTCATATAAAATAGCATACATTATATTTGCGTGTAACCTCTGCACATCCTCTTGTATGCTTTAAATCATCTCTAGATGCTATGTAAATAGTTGTTACTGTGTTTTTAAAATTTATATTGTTTTTTAAATTGTTATTTTTAATTTTTAAAAATAATTTTTGACCCTAGGTTGGTTGAACCATGCAGATGCGGAACCTGTGGGTATAGAGAGCCCACTGTGTTTTCTACCAAAAAGTTAAATTCTACTCCAATGACTCATTTCTACTTTTGTTTTAGGCCTACTGAACTTGATGCACTGGTATTTGGCCATCTATACACCATTCTTACCACACAGTTGACCAATGATGAACTTTCTGAGAAGGTGAAAAACTATAGCAACCTCCTTGCTTTCTGTAGAAGAATTGAACAGCACTATTTTGAAGATCGTGGTAAAGGCAGGTTGTCTTAGACTTATGTGTTAATTAAGTTATTTTTAAAAAATCTAACTTTTGAAATGTTACTTGAATGTTATAATAGATATTGTATCAAAATTTTAAAACCAAATCACTGCTTTTTGAAACCTGAGAACAAATTATATAATGTATCCTATATGTGTACTTTATATTATTGTTTTGTGTTCACATTTAAAGAATTCCAAATTTTTTTCACTTGATATATTGTATTCTTTATCTTGAAATTTTTGTTTCCTTGAAACATGTATGCATATAAAAATAAAGCTTAAACTACTGCATGGGTGTTATATTTATTTTCTTTTGATCTTACTGAAAGCTACTCATTGAGCTTTACACATGGGGAATAAAGTATCTTTTCTAAGGCAAGTAATTTGCTTTCTATACTCCAAGATTCCTTTGCTACGTACAGGGCGAAACTATAATGGGGGAAATGTTCTCAACAAGTGTGCACTTGGGAAACGTATATGATTTTAAAGTGGTTAAATCCTGATATAGATTTAACACATAACAGCACTTTTCATATCTCAACTTAACTGAATTAAAAAAAATTTCATTAGAGCAGCTATGATTTACATTTGATAAAGGTATAGACTGAGGGACCTTATTTTTTTGAGACAAGAACATTTTAATAATGCTTTTTATTCCTTTTGTGGGGAAAGGTAGGATAGTGTTCACAGAAGTATCAATGAGAATTTACATATAAACAGGATTATATGTTGTGTTCTCAAATTTTCTGAAGTTTCATATCTGAGAAAACTGAAGATACTATAAAGAATCACATGTAAAAAATATTTTTTAAAAACATGTTTAGAATAATAATACATTTATGTATTTATTTATGTATTGTTATTTACTAGGAATTTTAAACTTTATTTAATCCTGTAAAAACACTGTGGCTTTGCAGATACCACCTGCCATTTATAGCAAGTACTTGGGCCATGTCTTCTATGAGATGTTTGCAGACAAAGTTTCAAAAATAGCTGAAAACTTTCTGAGCATTGACGAGAAGGATTCTGTTATAAGGGTTCCTACTTTCACAGAATTATTCCAGAGGTTATGTGACAAAGTGGTAACTACACATGCCATAGTGGCACTGGCAGCAAGTTCCATCTGTGGGGAGAAATTTGATGGTAAGAATTTTATCCTGAAGCACGTAGGTCCTGGCATCTTGTCCATGGCCAGTGCTCGGCCCAACACAAATGGTTCCCAATGGTTCCCAGGTTTTCATCTAATGAGTTTGAGTGGTTGGATGGTGAGTTATGTGATCTTTGGCAAGATCAAAGAGAGTATGGATACTGTGGAAACCATGGAGCACTTTAGGTCCAGGAATGCCAAGACCAGCAAGTAGGTCACCATTGCCTACTATGAACAACTCTAAAAATTTTGACTCATGTTTTATCTTAACCAGCAGACTATTCCCTCTGTAGCTCAGGAGAACATCCCTCTACCCCATTTATTCTCAATATCCTACAATGTTTGTGTTCTCGCTGCAGTTCTTTGGGGTCTGTATTTTCTTTATTCCCTTCCACCTTTTACTGGATTGCAGAGTTAAGTTTATAATTATGAAATAAAAACTAAGTAATAACAATAATACACTATTATCTCCAGGTTACAGGTGAAGAAGTGGAGACTCTCTTGCCCAAGGTCATAGAGTTAGTAAGTATAAAGTTGGCATTCAAACTTACATAGCCTGGCATCAGTTTGGCTTTTAATCACTATGCCTTTTTTTTTCTTTAGAATTATAGATTTATATCATATAAAAGACAGATTAGGTTATACTTAGTCTAAATCCCATATAAAGTTTAGGTGCTCATTTTGGGCTATAGTGCTATTATTAACTTTCCTGAACTGACTTTGTAATGTGTATTATTGAAATAAAAAAATCCCCAGTTACCTGTGGTTTTTACACAATTTTTATGACATTTTTGTATATATCTTTGTGTGCTTGTTTTGTATATAATGATGTACTTTTCCTATTACCATCATATGTATTTAATTATACAAGTACCTCTTATACTTCTGAAAACACAATTTCGATTTTTCTTAGAGATTTTTGGATATAAAGATACTTCATTAAAGTAGATTGTGATATTTTAATCTTAATGATTACAACTGACTGTATTCTTAGCTTAATATGAGGAACACTGGAGACTTTGGTTGTTTATTCTAAGTTGACATATTTACTCTTAAGACTTACTGTGGATGGGCTCGGCGCCTGTGGCTCAAGCGGCTAAGGCGCCAGCCACATACACCTAAGGAGGCGGGTTCGAATCCAGCCCGGACCTGCCAAACAACAATAATGGCTGCAACCAAAAAATGTCCGGGCGTTGTGGCGGGTGCCTGTGGTCCCAGCTACTTGGGAGGCTGAGGCAGGAGACTCGCTTGAGCCCAGGAGTTGGAGGTTGCTGTGAGCAGTGAGCCATGGCACTCTACCCAGGGGCTCAGCTTGAGGCTCTGTCTCAAAAAAAAAAAAAAAAAAAAAAAAAAAGACTTAACTGTGGATGGATCACTCTCAGAGAGGGCTTGTTTCTTTCTAGTGTTAAGGTAAATTACTCAAAACAGAATACACTAGAAAATGGAAACTTTGACATCAATTTGGTTATTCACTTTTATATCTTTATTTTTTAAATTAGGGTCCATAAAGCCAAGTCACAGTAGTTAAAAATTATTACTGAAAAGTTTGCTACCAAATGTTTTGTTGCCAAAATACTTACTGCGAATTTTAAATAAGTAGCATGCACCCTTACTTTTTTAAAAATTTAAATCATGACTAGTTCAGTGGAATGACAGTTTTTCATGTAAGAAATTGTAAATCAATACAGATTTAGTCTACCTACTATATTGGATGATTGATGACTTTTGAATGATGTGCATTATTGGGTTTAAATTGTATCTTCTACAAAACCTTTTTGAAATCCAACTTGTTACTTTTTAATTGATTCAAATATTGGATGAGTAGCTATAGTATTCATTAGGTATTCTAAGTCCAAGAAAAATAGAAGTTATAAAACATGTCAATTTGTGAGATTTACTAATAATATGTCTTGATGCTTTTTTAATGAACAGATGATGAATACTATTTTTCTTAATGTGTGTGTATTACTAATAATATGGTTGCAACATTGAGGTATTTCAAGATACTACCTTCTACAGTAAAATTTAAGATAGTACTTTTTTTTAAATTTACAGTTACTTTATTTAAATTATAACCCATGGCTTCTTGGTCAACTACTTTGTAGTATGTCTCTCCCATTTATGTTTAGATAAGAAACAATTTATAAATTTTATTGAGTCTTAAAATATTTAAAAGTTTGGATGATATCTAGACTGGTATAAATGTTTTCATTTTTTGTTTTTAAATTCCTAAGAATTGGAATCAGATTTCTATCTTTAATTTTTTTTCATTTTTATTAAATTATGGTGATTGAATTTGTGTTAGGACTGTAATAGATCTCTGGGATTTTTACTTGAACAATCATGTGTTCTATGAATAGAGATAGTTTTATACTTTCCAATGTTTATGTTTTTTATTTCATTTTTGTTTTTATTCTGCTTTATTGCACTGACTAGTAGCCCAGAATGGTGTTGAATAGGAGTAACAAGAGTAGTATCCTTATCTTGTTCATGATCATAGGGGGAGTATTTCATAATTCATCATGAATGTAGGGTTTTTTTAGATATATCTTCATTAGATTTAGGAAGCTTTCCTCTATTTCTGGTTTGCTCAGAGTGTTTGTTTATTTTTAAGTTCATGAATAGATACTGTATTAACAAAGGCTTTTTCTGCATCTATTGAGATGATCATAGGTTTTAAAAATTTTATTCTGTTGAAATGATGAATTAACATTAATTGATTTTGAGATGTTCAATCACCTTTGGTTTCCTGAGATCAACCCTATGTAGTCATGATATATTATATTTTTTTATGTTGTTGGACTTGATTTCCTGTTATTTTGTTCAGGATTTTTGTGTCCATAGTCATGATAAATGTCCAGTTTCCAGTTTTCTTGTAATGACTGTGTCAGGTTAATCCTGGCCTTATTAAATGAGTCAGAAAGGATTCTTTTGTACATTTGGAAAGACTTTAGATTTGATATTACATCTTCCTTAAATGTTTGGTAGAATTTACCAGTATAGCCATCTAGGCCAGGAAGGTTCATTGGTGTAAGATTTTAAACTCAAATTTTAATTTCTTTAGTAGATTTAAAATTATTCAGGTCATCTGAAATGTACTATCCTTTATCCCTGATAATATTTCTTGTTCTAAAGTTATTTGCCTGATATTGGCTGGATGTGGTAGCCCATACCTTTAACCCTAGCCCTTTGGGAGGATGAGAGAACAGCATCACTTGTGGCCAGGAGTTCAAGACCAATCTGAGCAATATAGCAAGACCTTGTCTATACAAGGTCAATACTAAAAAAAAATTAAATTATTTGATATTAATTTAGTTATTTTCACTACTGCTCAAGATTAACATTTGTGAGTTTTATGTATCTTATTTTACTTTTATTTAACATAGGTTTTAAACAGCTTCATATTGGGTCTTCTATTATCTGACAATTTCTGTCTTTTTAGTAGTGTGTTTTAAGGCATTTATATGTAGCATCTTGCCACATCTTGCCAGGTGTTTCCTGATTGTTCCACTTGTTCTTTGTTTCTTTTAACCTTTACTCTTTTGATTGAGGGCTTTTTTTTTTTTTGCAGTTTTTGGCTGGGGCTGGATTTGAACCTGCCACCTCTGGCATATGGAGCCAGCACCCTACTCCTTTGAGCCACATGCCCCTGATTAAGTTTTCTTAATGAGGCTCTTTTGTCTCCACAATTGGCATATTATTGTACCTCTTAATTTTTTTATAGTGGCCAGAGTTTAGAGTATGTATCTTTAATTATAGCATATGTTCAAGTAATATAATTTGCTTTACTCTCAGTGTGGGGCTTGTCTTTTCATTTCTCAGTGGTGTCTTTGGAAGAGAAGTTTTAACTTTTGATGAAGTCTAATCTTTCAAGTTTTTTCTATTTTTTTTAGAAGTCTTATTTTAGCTCTTATTAGGTCTGTGATCCACATTGTGTTAATTCTGATGTGTGGTGTGAGATAAGTCTAAAGGTTTTTCTTTGTTTTTTGCTTATGGTTGCACAAGTTATTTTCCTTGGCACTTTTTGTTCCAGGCAAGAGAGAGGGGAGATCTAAGTAGGGTCATTGAGTCCTCCCTGTAGTTTATACTTTTCCTCTTTTCAAAGGATCACAAGGTTACTTTCTTAGGATTCCTGCAAGGTCTCTATTTGTTTTTTGATGAACTTCCTTGAGGTCCTTGGAGAAGAGACTTTGAATGAG